CACAGAATGCGTTGGGGCATGAGCATTTCACCCAGGAGCCAGCGAGGAGCAGGAAATGCCTGACTGGCTGGGACACACCCCCTCTAAGTCTTGGAAACGCAGTCATTTGTTGCTTTGACACTTGCTATTAATCCCTAGAAGATGTCACTCATCTCATTCTGAACCCTGAGCACCTGCAAGAGAGAAAGGAAGCCAGCAGCTGACCAAGAAGGGCTTCATGGGGGTGGTATGTTCCAGAACAGAGATGGCTTGAAAAAACACAGGGCCTTTGTGTACTGAAGCTGAGTGCTAGATCCCAGCTCCCTGGTCCCTGCTGGAGAGCTCGCCCTGGGTCGAGAGGCAAGGAGGGGAAAGGGAACTGGGTCTGTGTGACTTACCAGCCCAAAGCAGCATCCTCCCCATCCCTGCTGTGGTCCCGGCACAAAGGACTAGGACCCTGGGCTCTCTCTATATAAGGTCTCAGCCAGGAGGAGTCTGGTCATCACTGTGAAAGTAGAACAGCTGCAGAAGGCACGTGCCAGAAATCCAGCCCCAGGGCCTGCTTCCAGCTCCACAGCTGTCCCATTCCCAAGGTCCCTGGGCAGCCTCTCCTTCTGTCAGAGCCCCTCACCTGCTGTGGCCACATTCAGAGGACTCATTAAACATCAGATCTTCTCAAGAAGAGACTATTCTTCCAAGTATGTCTTTGACAGGGAGAGGGAGAAGGAAGAGGCCTTGGCCAAACATTCCATCAGGGCTGGACACAGTGGTTCACACCTGAAATCCCAGCACTTTGGGAGGCTGAGGTAGGAGGGCTGCCAGAGCCCAGGAGTTTGAGACCAGCCTGGGCCACATGGTGAGAACGCGTCTCTACAACAAATCGAACAGAATTAGTCAGACATGGTGGCACATGCCTGCAGTCCCAGCTGCTTGGAAGGCTGAGGCAGAAGGATCCGCTGAGCCCAGCAGGTCAAGGCTGTAGTGGCCATGATTGTGCTGCTGCACTTCAGCCTGGGTGACAGTGAGACTCTGGCTCAAAAAAAAATCAGGCCTGTGGGGAACAGTTTGTGAGGTTCCTGGTGACTCATGGAGAGTGGAGAAGAGAGTCAGAGTGGAACTAAGGAAGGAGGAAGGAGAGAGCTGGCTACTTTGGGTTGGCTCTAAATCCTGGGTTTAGGGGTCAAATGAGAAGGGACGCTTTAATTCCATTTGGGTTTCCCAGCCATGCCCACAAGCCTCAGAAAATGGCCGAGGTTCTAGAGCAGACGGTCCACCAAAGATAAAGAATATGCAGCCAGCTGGAGCTGTGTCTTTTAGGAGTCTTGTGAGGAAGATACCAGGTGTGAGAACACGAAGGGCCCGGCTGAGGGCTACTGGACAGCAGAGACGCCCAGACTGCAGAGCTCTTTCTCCGAGATCTGATCTAAAGTCATATGGATGCCCTTGATTAGAGAATAAGTCTAGACTTTTGGCAATGCCCTGTCCATCTGATCCCACTCTGCCTTGGCAACCTCACTCTGTGCCATTTCCTTCAGGCCCTGTGCACTCCAGCTGGTGCAATCCCACATGCTCGCTCCAGCCTCTGTGCTTTTTCTTTTGCTGTTCTTATACATGAGCTGCCCTTTCTTACTACTCTATCCAATAAGCTCCTACCCATGCTTCAAGGCCCGCACCTACCAGGATTTCCTCTGTGGTATCTTCCTCTTTCTTGCCACCTTCAGGCAGAGTTCATTGTCAGAGTTTTTCCCTCACTCGTGCTATCATTCATTTTGGTGGAAATGACAGACATTGGCTAAGCACGTATCATCAGCAAGGCATCTAAGATCTGGGGATTTGAGGAGAAATCTCACAGTCTCTTTCTTCCAGGAGATACTAGCCTAGCTAGGAAGACAAAGCTGCAAATGAATAAAATACAAGGGTCTGTGCAGTGCACTATGGGAGGTGCGAAGGAGGGAGTCATTGCCTCTTCACAGGGGTGGGCAGGAGGGTGGGCAGAGAGAAGGGGGAGAGATGTCAGGGAAGATTTCATTTACACAAACTGAGATTCAGTTAATATTTCATGAGTCAGTGGATGATGTCTAAGCAGGGAGGATGCCGTGGGAAATATTTAAGTTGATGGAAAAGTGTAGAACCTGTTTTATAACCCAGATACAGGGTGAGGTCCCATGTGGCCACTCTGTGCAAACTCACAATTAAAAAGAACATTAAACCTGCACAAATAGTAATTTAATGAGCATTCCAAAATTTATTTATGTCTCTTAAGGAATATTACAAAGGCTCTGATTTGTAAACCTTGGTAACATTTCTCAAAATCACCATTCTCTATTCCCCTCCAAAGATATTGCTTGGGATCATCTTACCCAACAAAGTCCAAAGCTCTGTCTTCACCACCATTTTTATGGTTTCTTTTTCTTTTTTCCTTTTTTTTTCTTTTTTTTTTGAGTTCAGTCTCACTCTGTTGCCCAGGCTGGAGTGCAGTGGCACAATCACAGCTCACCACAGTCTTGACCTCCTGGGCTCAGGCGATCCTTTCACCTCAGTCTCCCAAGTAGAAGGGACAATAGGCTCATACCAACATGCCTGGCTAATTTTTTTTTTTTTTTTTTGTAGTGACGGTATTTTACTATGTGGCCCAGACTGGTCTTGAACTCATGACCTCAAGCGATCCTCCCTCGTTGGCCTCCCAAAGTGTTTGGGATTACAAGCATGAGCCACTGCACCCAGCCCATTTCCATGCTTTCTTCCCTTCTCACTTCCTGTTGTTTTCCATCTCTTTCTATCTAAATTATCGCCTCTCCCTCTTTCCTTCTACCTCTGTGAACCAAATCCCCGTCTCTCAACCCAGTTCCCCAATTCTCTATCACAAAAATATAGGAAGGGGGCAGGCAAAATCCTTATTTACTGTGGTGAGGACAGAAGGTAGCTAGGGGAAAGTGGGGAACACTCACATATGAATAAATCTTGTCCCACCTCGCAAATGATTGACAAGGTGGAACAGACGTTAAGCTGTGGGGGAGTTTCAGCTGGTTGTTTCAGCTGGTTCAGGAAAAGGTTGTTATTATCCAGAAGTAGATGTAATTTTTTGACTCTGGCTTTGCCAATACCGTACATTGTTCCAGCAGATTGACACCTGCTGATACATTTCAGGTAGTTTGTAATAACTTGGATTGGGTTGTATCTCAGTAATTATATTGAGAACTTCCCAGAAATTATACTTTTTGACTCAGGATCAAAGGCCAGAGCATAAACATAGGTGATACTGAGCCAAGAACAGTGACTTGCACTTTGGAAGACTGAGGGTAAAAGGCGAGGAGTTCGAGGCCAGCCTGGGCAACATGGAGAGACCCTGTCTCTATAAACAAAACAAAACAAAAGAAACAAAAATCAGTGGATGACAGGCCAGGGATGAAGGTGGAGATGCATTGAGGTTGACCTGAATTTCCCTTCCTTTAACAAAAGGAATCTATTTCTCCCAAAAGAGAAACACAGCACTAAAAAAGAAAGAAGTGGCCCCAGGCAAACATTACTCAATTCAGTAAGGTCAGCTCTATTATATGTAAAGGGAATCAACGAAAAGATGTGGGAAAATGGACTTCTATATCCACCACCATCTCCTCTCTCCCACACACACATGCATTGAGAATGCCTTGCATCCCCCCCCAATATATCTTTCTAACTATACTGGAATTAATGTGAAATCTCTATTATTTAAACAGGTCTGAGATCCCAGGAAAGTGCCCATTTTTAATTCCCTGGAGGCAGCTTTCTGCTTTGAAGAACCCCACTTCAAATGATTGTTGATGACTATGTAATACAAATTTAACCACTGGTCTTACTTCAAACAGGGAAAATGCACAAAGCTAGGTACTCTACTTGAGTAAAATTTGGGGGGGATGAAAGCTATGCCTGATTTATATTTTTCACACCCCTGTGGCATAGTGAACTTTATTACACAGCAGTGTAATAAAAAACATTTGTTGCATTGAATCGAGATCTGACTTGAACACAAACTGTTTGATCACCCTCCACGTCTCCCTTTCTTCATGTAAAGAAAATTGGAGTTTTAAACTTCAATGCTTTCAGGTCCAGGCAGGTAAAGTGAACATGTGAAGTAGCCTAAGTACCAGGAGGGAGTAATGAAGACAATGCCATTAATCTTCAAACTATGCTGCTACCCTCAAAAAAAAAAAAAAAAAAAGTTTTCTGATCAGAGCACCTGTTTGAAATGCTCTTTAATGTTGAATTTTGTTCCCCCTCTCTTATGTTGTCCTTGAGTCAGTGATGGCTCTGGTTCATGGTTCATGTTTTGTTTTGTTTTTATTATTATTTTTTTGAGTTGGAATCTCACTCTGTTGCCCAGTCTGGAGTACACAATCATGGTCACTGCAGCCTCAACCTACTGGGCTCAGGCAAACCTTCTGCCTCAGCCTTCCAAGTAGCTGGACATACAGGCATGTACCACTACACCTAGTTTTTTTTTTTTATTTATTGTAGAGACAAGGCCTCACCAAATTGCCCAGGCTGGTCTCGAACCCCTGGACTCCTCTTGCCTTCATATCCCAAAATGTTGGGATTACAGGCATGAGCCACTGCACCCTGTTGGTTGAGTTGGTTCATGTTCTAAGAATGGAGGGAGAAGCATATTGTGTTGGGGGAGAGAGTGGTGGAGGGTGATGACCTTTAACCAGAGCTCCCCGTGGAGATACCACTGTGTCCTTAACATTAATGCTGCCATTTCATACTCAGAGACCATCTCTTATTTTCTCTGATCAATCCCCTATAATAAGTTGCTAAGTTGCAACTCAGAATAAACTACTAAAAGCAGAATAATACGTCAAAAAAGACATTTTGGTATGAACATCAAAGATGTTGGAGTTTCTTGATTTATTAACTGCAGAAAGTAAGACTCCAGTGAGCAGAAGGAGCCTAGATCATTATAAATGCTGCCATCAGCCCACAGAAACACCAGGGCAACCCCAGAGTCCTGCAGACAAGGTTCGGGACAGCTGTCTCTGGCCACTCTACGCAGAGAGGGCAAACCCCACCCTGTTGTTGGCCATGTCATAGACAGAGTAATATTCCTTGAGGAAGACATCTCCCAGAATCCACAGAGGCTCCCCGCTGGGGGAGGGCAGGTAAGTGGCCTCAATACCGAGCCTGCAGTAGCCATTGTTCTGAAGAGACAAAAGACATGAAGATATGGCAAATTGCACTGTAGAGACCTTTCTCCACGGGGACTCCCCCTCCTATATTCCATGACACCTAACGGGTCTTCTGAATTCTTGTTCGGCCTCAGCCTGGCCCCTGGCGAATCCCCAGAGCTGCCCAGATGTGAGCTGGGACATGGAACACCCCCACCCCCCATCACAGTATCCAGGAAGCCTGGGAGTGAATACGTACGTTGAAGACATAGGCAGAGGGAGGCAGCGGGAACTGGGCCCCGCTGATGATGAAGGTGATGGTGGGCATACTCTGGACGTAGTTGCAGTTGACCACAAACTAACAGGGAGAAGAGGCAGAGCTGAGGCGCTCCAAGGGACCGGGAGCCCAAAAGAAAGGGCCCAAGCCCCCCTTTTTGCCTGTGGGTTCCCTGTGAGACTTCCCTTAGACCTTCCAGCAAAGACTGTTTCAGAGCATGGTAGGCCTAGCCTGATTCCCAGGCACAACACCAACCTTGCTCTTTTGCTTTCTCGCGTCCTCTCCTTAAACCTCTCTTGGATGTGGGTTCTATCAATATGGCCATAGGAACGAGGCTCATTCTAGAACATAGTCTCTAGCCTCAGAAAGTACAAAGGACAGAGAAAAGGCGTGGGGACACATACCTGTGGAAGCACGCGCTCATACGCACTCATCTGTGTCCTCACCACAGCACATGCACACATGTGCACACACACACACACACACACACACACACATACACACATATGCGTGACCTGAGGAGCCGAGATTTAGTCTGGGCACAGACTCTTGCATACAGGGAGAAGCAAACTACAGATTTGAATACAAAGGCGGGCAGACATGGGGACAGAAGGCTGTCAGACGTGGAACCCAAAGATGTATTCCTAGGGAAGAAGGAGACCACAGGGAATGGAGAAATGTATTGTTCCCTGACTCTGGTATTTCAGAGCAAATCAAATACTCCTAGGGCCTACAGTGGGTCAGCGGCCTCCACCCCACACTCACCAGCCACCCCCTACTCACAATCAGTCTGGGTCAAATTGGTGGTACTCCCTCTCCTTACCCTTCCTTGCATCAAGGGTTCATGCCAAAAATATCGTGTCACGTCCCCACCCGATCTTTGCAGCCAGAGACACGGGTTCCACCCAGCCCTTTCTCCTTTCTCTCATGAACTCATCACACTCAGGCAACTGTGTTAAGGCTGCCTGGGTGTACGAAATTGCTCCTGGCTTTCAGTTACTCACATCACCGTTCTGAGCCTGCTGGGCTCCCGTTGCCTGCAGGAAGGAGCTCATATACTGCTGGGGGACAGCCAACAGGAAGGTCCCAGTATCCACGATGGCCTGGCAGCCCTGGGAGCACAAGCCAGTGGCCTGGTTGCCAATGACAAACCTGAGGGGGACAGCAAGACAAAGAGAATCAAGTGGCTCCATTGAAAACATAAGCCACGTCCATCCCTCATCTCCCCAGGCCAGCAGCTCTGACATCCTGCCTCTTCCAGGAAGCCAGACCCCTCCTATCACATATCTGCCCATGTAACGCTTCTGTGCATTTGCGTTATTGGAGTCACAGTTCTGGCCTTGGACTGGTGTCTTCTGCTGCTCTGTTCAAAAGTTCTAGAAAGACAGAGGCTGTCCCTTCTTCTTTCATCTTGCTGCATGGGGCCCAGTACATAGTGCCAAAGACAGTGAGGACTCGCAATCAATAAATAGGTGTATTTTGAGCACCTATTATGTGTAAGACACTTACTTTCAGGGATTATGATGCTACAAGGAGCGGGTAGTTTGTACTTACTGTTTTAAGGCGCTCATTCTAATAGAGATGAAACAACACAACACATTAAGCCCTAACTAATGCCATGAGGCAGTAGCTGATAAGCTCTATAATGTGGTACTTAATATCTTACATGATTTAGTCTCTTATCCTTCATCCAGCTTTTTCTGCCACTCTAGTCTTCCTTTTCATTTCACATAGATTTGCTGAGCACAGACATTGGGTAAGGCACTTGGAGACAGTGGTGAACAAGACAGACACCACAGTCTAGTGGAGGGGCCAGGCATGTAATAAATACACACATATGACATTTAATTGCCCCCTGTTAAGTGCACATTGCAGAATGCCAGAGAAAAGGGGACTGAATCTAGTCTGGCATCAGACAAGGACTTTTCTGAGGAAGTAATGCTTAAAGGATGAGTTAAATTGGGTTATGTGAAAAAGCCACCTCCATTTCATGAACCTTAAACTAGTCCCCAGACCTGCCAAGCTCTTACCTCTCTCTACTCTTGCACATTGGGCTGTTTTGCCAGTGCTTTAGCCAATGACTAGGATGTGTCAATTGTGACAGGAGCACAGAAAAGTACTATGGGACCAAAAGAGAGAGAAAGTACTGTGCACTGGGCCCCTGCGAGGATGTTTCAGAGGAGATGGAAATTAATCTGGGCTTTGAAAGACAGCTAACGCTCAAGTAAGCATTCCAGGTGGTATACTTAAAAGAAAGGGGGCAAGAAAGTTATGGGCAGAGGCAGGGACATGGTAGAGTCCGTGCTTCACATCAGGAAGCACTGGAAGGCTGTATCGATAGGGACCTGGCTTTCATATGGTCTTGAGTATAGGAGTTGTGTCTTTAATTTGCATGTGATCGAGAGTTCTTGAGGACTTTTGAGTGCAGAAGTAACTGATTCATAATCATGAGCTTTGGGATCAGATAAGTTTTGTCTCAAATTTTGGCCTTATGGAATATGGGACTCTGAATAGGTTACTCAACCTCTGACCTTTGGTTTCTTGATCTATGGAAAGAAACATTGCTGATCTCTTCCTAGTGCTGTTTTGGAAATTAAATGCAAAAATAGATTTACAGTACTTAGCACCAGCATTTGGCACATACCAAACATCAGTGACAGCTATGACTTTCACTAACAATAGAAGTGGTCGAGAATATGCTGATCGGGATAAAGAAGCTTCCAAGAATAAAGGCATGGATTCACAGTCCAAGGAATGACCAACCTGCCAGCAGGCCAAGTGTCAGTAACCAGTTCAAAAAGTTTAGACGAAAGTTAGATGCCAGAGTTTACTGAGCTCCAGGACCTCCTCAGCCTGAGGGAGGCTGGTGATTTTTTAAGAAGCTTGTGTGACAGGGAGGAAGAGTGTCAGCCATAACAGGAACAGGAAATATTGTCACACCAGAGGAACACCCTACAAGGATCCCTAATCCATGGGAACTGCCCTCTCCACTTACTCTTGGATGGCAATCTGCCAGTACAGCTCCCGGGTGACAGGGGTCCAGATGATCTGTCCAGAATAGAGCTGGGGGTCCACACCCCCGAGGATGAGTTCTCCACCATACTGACGAGTTGGTTGGCTGGGGAGAAATGCCGAAGAGTGTGAGTTCCCACAACTCGAGTGGGTCAGGCAGTTCTCTGTCTTTTCTCTCCCCACCTCGCTCCCTCAGACACTCAGGTGCTGCACAGGGGATGCAGTCCACTGGGTGACTCTGACTCTGCCTTCTGAGACCCAGGGAGAGGACACTTTTCAGAGTAACACCAAGGTGTTAGAGACTATGCCCATTAAGGGGAAGATGGAATTGGAAACCAGGCACCTAAATACAAACTGTAGAAGCATTCCAGGCTGGGCTTCATTGTTTATGCCTATAATCCCAGCAATTTGGGACGCTGAGGAGGGGAACTGATTGAGCCCAGGAGTTCGAGACCAGCCTGGGCAACTTAGCAAGACCTCATCTCTAAAAAATAAAATAAAAAAGCATCCCAGATAAACCCACCCTGGAGGAAGTGAGAACTACAGGAAGCAGCGCTGGGATGGGGCCTGACAGAGGCCTCAAGAGCATTGTGGTGGGCGTGCTCCTGTCATGATCAGGACATTACACAATGCTGAAAGAATGCAGGCCTCTTGTCTTCACTATCCTGGCCAGTCATAGGAGAAAGACATTTGGACTTCAGGTATCTCAAGCATCATGTGTTTAGGTAAGAAGGAACAAGGGATGAAGTTTGACACAAAAGATCCAGGCCAGGTGGAGTAAGAAAAGCACTGGATTTGGGATCAGGATGCTTGAGTTTGAGTCTTGGCTTCACACCTACCAGCAGGTGGCCTTGATTAATACTGACGAACCATTTGAGCCTCCAACTCCTCCTCCCTGACAAAATGGGACTAATAGCAGGCCTTCTGAGATGTCACTTCATAAAGCCAAATATACTATTCTAATTATCATCTCACTATAATTATCCTTACTAGCAAATGCTCACGTGGCTTGTTCTGTAGCTCTACAGTTGTGCAAATGCAATAAGTCCCCTACATATGAACGAGCTCCATTCCAAGAGTGTGTTCGTAAGTCCAATTTGTTTGTAAGTTCAGCAAAGTTAGCCTAGGTACCCAACACAATCAACTGTACAGCACCAGCCACATCATTGCTGCTTTTATGCTTGCTTCCAGACATCCTGGGCTTGAAATAAAGACACTGTACTACTGTACTCTATTCATTACTATGAAGTACACAAAAGCACAACCACTTGTAGAGGATGCACCCATGTGACAGTGGACACCAGACACGTGAACTAACTTACATGATTTAACATGCAAACACACAATTATATCTTTGAAAGTTCAAGGTACTCTTGAACTTGAAGGTTCCTATGTAGGGAACTTACTATATGGCAATCTCCAGATTCCCCTAAATAAGTATTGAGGGACTGCAACTCACTTTTAAGAAGAGGGTTATCAGCAGTGAAAAGGAAACACTTATACACTGTTGGTGGCAGTGTAAGTTAAAGTTCTATGGCAATCAGTACAGAGATTTCTCAAAGAACTAAAAGTAGGTCTACCATTTGATCCAGCAATCCCACTACTAGGTTCTACCCAAAGGAACAGGGGTCATTAAACTAAAAAGGCGCCTGCATTCACATGTTCATTGCAGCACAATTCACAGTTGCAAAGATTTGGAATCAACCTAAATGCCCATCAACTGATCAGTAGATAATGAAAATGTGGTTTATGATGCACCATGGAATACCCTTCAGCCGTCAAAATGAATGAAATAATGTCTTTTGCAGCAACTTGGATGGAACTGGAGAACATCATCCTAAGTGAACTAGTGCAGGAATCAAGCACTGCATGTTCTCACTTATAACTGGGAGCTAAACTAAGAATCTGTAAAGGCATAGAGGATGGTATAGTGGCCACTGGAGATTCAGAAGAGGAGGAAGAAAGGGGTGGAGGGATGAAAAATCACCTATCCAGTACAATGTGCTCAGGATGGGGTGTTGGGTACACTTAAAGCCCAGACTTCTTTCCCACTATACAATTCAGCCATGTAACCAAAAACCATGTGTTCCCCCTAAGGCTATTTAAATAAAGAAAAATACAGCTATCATATGGCTTGTGGCTGATACAATTAAAAACTCAAAGTCTATTTTTAAAAAAAAATTCTTCCCCAAATATAATTACACATTTTCAGAAACACATGAATTTTACGGTGCAAGTTCTACCCGCTATGTGAGGTAACCCTATTGACGGCCTGGGCCCATTGGATCCAGGGTCGTCTAGCGCCCCCACAGAGCCTCCTTCCCCGAGCCCCGCCCAGGACGAGGCTTCCTACCGAGAGAAGTAGAAGCTGAAGATGGGCTGAGTGAGCTGGCCCTGCTGAAGCATTCCCTGCATCACTGTCGGGGCGTTCCCCACCGCCATGTTGGGATAGGCCATTCCCAGGATCCCGTCAAAGTCTGAGTAATAGAAGGGATTGTTGGGCTCATTCTCACTCAGGCCAAACTCCTGGTTGTTGACAACGATGTTCTGAACCTAGGCAAGCAGAGAGCAGAGCTTGACCGTTCAGGCGGGCAAATCCCACGGCTTCCCTGACTGAGGTGCTCAGGGTCTAGAATCTAGCTGGCACCCCCCGGGGAGAGAAAGTTGGCTTCTCTCCCACAGAGAGTGGGTGTGGGAGTGGAAGGTGAGTGAGCAACAGCGTCACCCAACCATGAGTGTCTTGGGAAAAAAGAAGGTGGGTGTTGGGGAAGTGAAGACAGTTTTCTGGAGTGGTCCTTTTCACTTCCATGGACAGTGGAAGGAGTAACTGGTTTTATACCGAACAGTCCATGTGCAGGAATGATTAGAGGCAGCCGAGCACGGTGGCTCATGCCTGAAATCCCAGCACTTTAGGAGGCCAAGGCGGGAGGATTGCTCGAGCCCAGGAGCTCAAGACCAGCCTGGGCAACATGGTTAGCCTTGTCTCTACACAAAATCAAAAAAGTAGCCAGTTCACCATAGAACCTAGATAGATCCCCAAAGAAGACAGAAGGATATGGAAAAGGGAAGAACAGCTGAATACTTGGGAGGTAATCACCGTGTTTATTACACTTGTATTTTGATTTTGTTTGTTTAATGTTTTATCACAAGCACTTTTCCAGTCTTTGACATTTGGGGTTAAGATTATATGTATATTGACACAATAAACTATTTGAAATGAATTCTCATTAAGAAACAATATTAGAGGAGTGACCCGCACCTGTAGTCCCAGTTACTCAAGAGGCTGAGGAGGAAGGATCGTCTAAGCCCAGCAGATCAAGGCTGGGATGAGCCGTGGTTGTGCCACTGCACTCCAGCCCGGGCAACAGAGTGACAGCCTAACTCAAAAAAACAAAATAAAGGATAATTAAAGGAACTAGAACTGTGGGTATTTGACCAAAAGAAATAAGAAAGTAATGAAAGGACTTGTCTTCAAATATGCAAAGTGCAACTGGGTGGAAGAGACAGCAGATTTATTCTGTGTGTGCCCAGAGAGCAGAGTTAGGACCACAGAGCAAAGTCACAAGAAGATGTCGCAACTTTAGCACAACACAAAGAGATTTCTATAGTCAGGACTGTTGTGGAAGCAATTCCTGCAGGAAGGTTGAATTAAACAGCCTTTGACGGACTCTCAGCTGCTGGAAAGGTTGTACCTAATTAGTAAGAATGTATTTCTCTAATAACCTAAGGAATTATTTAAAAAAAAAAATGTGAGGGGAGCCTAATCACAGACCCTCAGAGGCTATAAGAACATTACTCACAGTCACAGTGTCATATCCCAACACCACACTCAGGCTGCCACTCCCGTAGGACAGTGTATAGGTTTGTCCATTGTTGCTGAAGGTGGAGGACTGGCTGGGATTGAACCTGTTGTGGTTGTCTGTAGAAAGACAGAATGGAATATTAGTGTCAGTCATTGAGTACAAAACACATGGAGTCAACTTACCCTTAATGGCTTGGGATCATCAGACCAAGGCTGGGATGGAGCATCATTCTAGACTCTTTGCTTGTAGACAACCGATGCTAGCCACAGAAAAGTTTGTCCCCTTAGATGACAGACATGGCCCAAACTCCTCCTCATCCACCACTCCCTGAGGGATGGGTTGTCTGAGAAGTGCCAGATATTTGGGGCCACAGGAGAGAGCTGAGGGGAACAAGGTAGGAAGGAATGGAAGCCTGAGTCTGTCTATTTCCGCTCTCTCCAGAACAGTCAGCACTTCCGAGATGTGGTCCTGAAGTGACAGACTGAGAAAACAGGGTCTCCAGATGGTCCTAACATCAGAAGGGTGGCATGTGGATAGGCACAAAGAACTCTGGACTTGTAGTGATTAGCCCACACCCAAGTCCTGCCCTGCCGTCTGCACCCGTCTGCAGGGTAGAGGGTGACGCATGTGTACTCACAGCAAGCCTGGCTCTGGCAGTAGGTGGAGGGCACCCACAGGTTGGAAGACCCCGTGTCAAAGAGAACTAGGAAATTTTGGGGTGGTGTCCCAATGCTGATCTCCCCAAAGTAGAAAGACTGTAAAAAAGGAAAACCACGAAGAGGGCATTAGGCAGCTAAACCCTGTCCTAAGGATGAGCAGGAAGTTGACCCATAGGAAACCACATTCTTCTCAAAGCATTTCCTTGAAGGAATGGGAGGCTTCTCCCACAAGCTCTCCTTGCCATCTGGAACCAGTTCCTCTCAAGATTCAACTTTTTCTCCCTAGCTGTAAGCCTTTGACCAGTTGAGACTTAGTTTAGTAAGACAACACTCTCTTGCAAGTGTGTTTTCTACTTTTACATTAAATAGACGCCTTCAGAGGCATGCTATGCCAGAATACCCAAAAATGGAGAAACGCCCACGCTTTTCTCCTTTCCCAATGTCCATACACACACACACACACACACACACACACACACACACACACACACACACACACTCACCTCTCCTTCCCTTCCAGCCATAGATTAGCCCATAAAAAATTAGCTAATACTTTTAGTTTTACATTGCCCAGGTTGGTCTCGAACTCCTGGGCTCAAGAAATCCTCCCACCTTGGCCTCTCAAAGTACTGAAATTACAGGCATGAGCCACTTTATACAGATATACAAGGGGTGAAGAGGCAGCACAAAGAGCAAGAAGAGTACCTCACTGGGAGGTAGCTTAGGCTCTAAGCAATTTTGACCAGTCCTGGCATGTCCCCACCTCTAGTTCCTTCATCTATAGCTCCCACTAAGATGCATAGCATCTCACTAAGGATACTCCATGGAACACCAGAATGCCGGGATGCCCCCAAGAGACATTATAGACTTGAGAACATTCACACATTGACTCAGGACCAACATGTTTTTCCAAAGAAGGAAAGTCATGTTGGAGAGTCTGGAGCCTCTTCCCGCCAGCTTCACATGTGTTTTTCTTTTCTTCCCGGCAGCTCATTGTCAGGACTCCCCCATGGAGGCCTCCGTGGACTTGAACATTCCCACCACAAATCTCTTCACCACATACACAGTGCTTCAGCAAGATGGCCAGTAATGAGAGGAAAGCTATACTATTAGATGGTGCCAACTCAAAATTTTTTTTAAAATCAGAATCTCACTCTATCACCCAGGCTGGAGTGCAGTGGCATGCTCACAGTTACCACAGCCTCAACTTGCTAGGCTCAGGTGATCCTTCCATCTCAGCCTTCCAAATAGCTGGAACCACAGGTGTGCACCACCATGCCTGGCTAATTTTTTTTTTTTTTTTTTTTTTGAGAAAGCAGGATTTATTGAGAGAATAGAAAATCTCCCACAGTAGGAGGGGACCCGAGGGGTTGCCTTTTTTTTTTTTTTAATTGTAGAGACAAGGTCTCACCAAGTTGTCCAGGCTGATCTCCAACCCCTGGGCTAAGGCAATCCTCTTGCCTCAGCCTCCCAAAGTGCTGAGATTACAGGTGTGAGCCACCACGTCCAGCCCCAACTCCTAATTTATTCTGATCCTTTCCATAGAAAGGTGGGCCTTAGGCTTAGTGACTAGTTTTAAAATTACAGCTAGCATAAGGTACAATGAGGACCTCTGAGTAGTGTTCCTACAAGAGTCATGGACACCCCCGACCCTTTCACTCACGTCCATGTAGTTGGTGATGGGCTCGTAAGCAACAGCATATTTATTGAAATCATACTTGGCAGCTGGGTCAACCTTGAGGTGGTGCTTTAGGAACGTCTCCAGGACGCCCTGCTCCTCCATCGCCTGGCGGATAGACTTGCCCTTCCTCAGAACGATTCTGCAGGGAATATGGTCAACAAGAGGAATGAGCTTCACTTTGGCCCCATTAAAGCAATCCCTTCGATGATCTGACCCACAGGATGCAAATCTCTCCAGCACTCTACGCAGAAAGGGCCCTTCTAGGAAATCCTTCCAGATCCTAGCAAGCTCTAACCACTCCAGCGGTCACTCCAGCATCTCAGCATGGCGATACACCCATGTTGGGGGTTTTGTGCTTATATGTTGTTTCCAGAGAATAAATGCCTATTTCTTCCCAGTCTCTCCTATAAGCTTGGGACGGAGATTGTGCATCCTTCCTTCTTAGCCAACAAAACATCCCCACCCTTACACACACACACACACACACACACACACACATACACACACACACACACACACCATACATTCACATCTTGGCCTCAGGGGATACTCAGTACACAGCACAAGAGACAGCCTGGCCAGCTTCCCAGGGCACTTGAGGAGGAAGGCTGATGCATCATTCACCCTGGAGGCTGGAATCCACAATGAAACTGAATCCCAATACACACCTTTCCACACCTCCTGAGAGGTGTAGACAAGCCAAGACCAAGATCAGGACTTTCATGGTGCCGGCTTCCAACTGCCTACCAACTTGCAGGACACGGGCAGAGTCAAGGGCTGGGGCATGGAGGGAGGCTGAGTCTCTCTCTTATACCCTGAACCCCCTGAACTTTTGGTCTCTAGGTGCATGGGCTTTTCCAGCTGGTACTAGCTTGTTTGCCTACACGTTTGTGGATTCTGTTTGTTTTTCCCTCTGGCAATCACCAAAGGCTTTCATATTCACTCTGTGGTCTATTAATGGCTTTACTGATAGAATTTGAAGATTAGGATTTGATAACAAATGTGAAATGCACTACGGACAAAGGATCCTGGTGCCTGTGTCCACTGACAATTAGGTGCCAGTAACTCCTGCGAAAACAATGGGGCACATTGCTCTTAGGCTCCTGAGGACATGTGTTTTTTTGAAATGTGCAGGATACTTTCTACGTTTTCCTCTCCCTCTTCCCTCTCTTTCTCTTACCGGTCTCATCTGTAACCTTGGATATATGATTCTCACACCCATGACACTCTAGTCTTTATTCTTCTATTTTTTTTAGTTCACAAATTAGCCAACTTTATTGAATGCCTTCTCTGTTCTCACCTTTCTACTGAGCTCTGGGAGTACAACAATAATTTGGAAGTGGTCCTCATATGCAAATGCCTGCATTCCTGCTGGAATGGCAGACACATAATCAAATTATGGGCAATGTATGTGATCACTCTAGGCATTCAAATGTTTGTTGAATGAATGAGAGGGATAATAATCATAAAGCAAACAGAGAGAGGGAGTGATAGCTGGTGGGATGGAAAGGCTTCACAGAGGAAGCGATATTTAAGTAAGAATCTTGTGGGATGCTATATAAGGAAGTAAGGTAGATTTTTTTTTTTAATGGAAGCAGAAGAAAAGCTTGAGCAATCATACAAAGGAGTAAAGTTGTGTGAGGATATTGTGGGCAACATAGCCAGAAGAATGATTCTTAGCGCGGTTCTTTTCCAGCCCAAGGCACAGCCACAAGACCTGCCTGTATATGTCCAATTCCCATCATGTTCATTGTCACCCTGAAAAGTATTTTTATCACCCTGGGCAACATAGCGAGACTGCGCCTCTACAAAAAAATACAAAAATTAACTGAGAATGGTGGCATGCCCCTGTAGTCCCAACTACTCAGGAGGCTGAGGCAGGAGAATTGCTTAAGCCCAGGAGTTTGAGACTGCAGTGAGTTATGGTCACACCACAGCACTCCAGCCTGGCCAACAGAGTGAGACTCTGTCTCAAAAAAATATGTATGTCCTACTCAGAAAACCAGAAAAGACTATAATGCTATAACAGAAATCCTCTTGAATCTAAAATACTGTATTAAAGCAATGTGTATTCAGTACCCTCCCAATTTTAACTTGTATTCTATAAAATTATTTATGACAAGCATTTATGACGACTGACCATAATATACCAGAGCACCATGAACGGAAATACTGGGTTACTATAAATAGTAGTACATGGATAGTACTAGAAATGTACAAAGTAGTTTATTTATGTATTTGTTTGTTTGTTGGGATCTTACTTATCACCCAAGCTATAGTGCAGTGGCAGGCTCAGAGTTCACCATAACCTCAATCTCCTGGGCATAAGCCACCATGCCAGGCAGTACAGGGTACCTATGTGGGCGACTTTCAAGATTAGAATCTTATATGCCGAACCCTATATGCTGAGCACTATTGATTTAATTCTGTAAGCAGTAAGAAGCCATTAAAGTTTTTTTTTTAATTTAGCCAACAACACGCTTAATGCCCTTCTATACACCGTGTATGCATTGCTTTGTTTTGTTTACAGTGTACCTTTTTAGAAGTATTGAAAGAGACCAGGTACCAAAATGATTCCCTAAGTAAAGTTGTAGCTGGCATGGAAATTTGTCATGAATCTACCCAGAACTTATCCATAAATCCAAAGGAGATTCAATTTAATCTGTAGGATTTAATGTTTCTTTATAGAAATAAGTTTTTAACCAGGCTCAGTGGCTCAGTCTATAATCCCAGCACTTTGGGAGACCGAGACGAGTGGATTGCCTAAGCCCACGGGTTCAAGACCCACCCAGACAACTTGGCGAGACCTCGTCTCTATGCTACATCAAAAATTAGCCAGGCGTGGTAGTGCACGCCTGTAGTTCTGGCTACTTGGAAGGCTGAGGCGGAAGGATCACCGGAGCCCAGCAGGTTGATGCTGGGTGGCCGGGAGCGTGCCACTGCACTCCAGTCTGGGTGACAGAATGAGACTCCAACTCAAAAAAAAGAAAGAAAGAAGTTTTTAAAGGGAAACAAAGTTACCAAGGATATGCGTATAATGACCACAACTCCCACATATTGAATTCCAAGTTTGTATCAAGCACATATTTTATTTAATCACTGCAACATCCTTTTGAGGCTAATTTAACTTTCCCAAGATCACAGAGTCAATCAAAGGTGAAACAGTCTCAGGTTTGGTTTGTCTAAACTCAGAATCTCTAAGCACAGGCTCCTTCTTCTCCAGACCTGGAGTGCTCAAGCTCTCTTTGCTTCAGTATCATGAAAAAAAAACCTTTAATGATATATGAGAAAAAACATTTTTAATTTTAATTTTTTTTTTTTTTTTTGAGTCAGGATCTCACTCTGTCACCCAGCTGAAGGGCAGTGATACTATCACAACTCACCACAGCTTCAACCTCCTGGGCTCAGGCGATTCTTCCACCTCAGCTTCCAGACAACATGCCTAGCTAATTTTGTTATTATTATTATTGTTGTTGTTGTTGTTGTTGTTGTTATTATAGAGACAAGGTCTTGCCCAGGCTGGTCTTGAATTCCTGGGCTCAAGCGATCCTCCCACCTTGGCCTCCCAAAGTACTGAGATTATAGGCGTGAGCCACCACGCCCAGTCTCATTTAATTTTTTTATAGAAAGATATTCTAATTACTTTTCCTCGTTTTCTTCCTGCCTACATATAAAAATGTAACCCTGTATGTTGCTGCCACCTGGTGGGAATATTCCTAACCTACAAAAACAGGATTTTGAAGGCTTGAAAGTAATCTTTTATGTGACTTCTTCAAAATCCACATTACAGCAGAAGATGACTAGGCATAGGTCCAGTTATTTTAGTTCTTTTTTTATTACAATGTAACAATGAGGACATGTGATAATTAGAGGCCGAGTAGGAGTAGTTAAAAAATGTAGCTTTGGATTTTTATACATCTGAATTCAAGTCTTGACTCAACAAGACCGCACTGTGTGTATGACCTTGAGAGTCACTCAGTCTCAGTGTTTTCAACTGCAAGCCAGAGGTGATGAAAAGTAAAACAATGGCTACAATAGTAATACCCTTTACTGCTGCTCTGAAGATTAAGCAAAATAACCTATGTAAAGTACTTAGTCCAGAGTGTGGAACATCTGAATACTAAAAAAAAGAAAAATCAGCTATTGTTACTGATAATAGATATTTCCCCAACAGTTAGGTTTGACTGTAATTCATGATTTGTTTTTGATATGACGTATGTCAGGAAATAGTCATTTTAACAATAATAATTTTAAAATAATAAATACATATTTACATTCTCTAAAAAACGAAGCCCAAGTCAGAAAGTAGCAATAGCTGGTAACGTCCTCTCCACGGTTCTTTCCTAGGCGGAGACAACTTGTGCCTGTTCATTGGTAATGCCTGTTTCAGCCCACGCCTTGCCCCCAAGCCACTGCCTTTTCAGCTGTTTTTAAGACTTTCCCCATCTCACATCTGTGCCTCTGGCCTCTGTGCATCTTCTAATACGTCAGTATTCCTTCCCTTAATACTCCAGAGTACTGCAGTAAGGGCTCTCTTACTGCACTTGCAAAGCCTTCTTAGCAGCATGTTAGTGCATGAGCTCTCTGGGTCTGTTTTCTCAGCATAAGATTAAGAATGTACATGAAGTGCGGAGAAACCTCTGAGTCCTCTCGGATGCATCATTTCTCTCCCTAGCTTTTAAAGTCTTGTGGGAGCCTGGTGCCTGAAATCCCACCCACTCTACTCAGCATGGTGGTCTCCATGCGGCAGCCGCCCAAGAACTCTACGAGAGAGGACTCCCCCAAAGAACAGAATTTATTTATAAAAAATTGTGTATTGATTCTCACATGTTTAAACTTCAGTCACCTTCAAAGTACTCTCTGTTTGATTCAATATAACTATCGAGATGCTTTTTCCACTGCTCAAAGCAGTTTTTGAACTTGTCCATGTTTATGCCTTTTGGTGCCTCTGCCAGTTTTTGTTCCTTCCACCTTGGCAAAATGCTTCCCTTTGAGGACTTTTTTCATTTCAGTGGGGGAAAAAAGTTGCTCCAGGTGAGATCAGGTGAATAGGGAGAGTGGGGCATGGGAGTCACGCCATTTTTGGTCAAAAACTGCTGAACACTCAGCCTGGTGTGGACAGGTGCGCTCACAAATCACCCATCATGAAATGGGCAAGCATGTTGAAAGACTCCCCCCAAAAAACTCACTGAGGCCGAATGCAGCCTCTCGCAATAACACTCGCTGATGGGTTCCTAGAACAGTTACCTAGAGAAGGAAGTCTGTACTGTAAGAGGCCCACCCTCCCAAAAATAATTCTGGGTTTTTTTGGGTCCCCCTTGTGTATGGAATGTGCCAAGTGTCTAGATGGGAGAAAACAGTGGGACTTCAAAGTTTCGTGTTAAAACACACACGCTTTGCCTATTCAAGTTCAGTAGGGAGTTCCCATGATCATGCCTACAGTTTAGCTTTTCCTAATGGCTGGGAATGGAATGAGGAGGCCAGACACATTTTTAGGTGAGACTGAAAAGAGGCAGAGGCAAGCTGCTAGGCAACTGATGCTATTGGGAAGATCAGGTGGCGCTTCGCATGGGGTCTTTCTTCAGATGGGAAGCCTAATTAAGCCCCTTGCTATGGATTCAATGATAGCCGACACCAATTCCAGGGTTTTCATAACTCAACCAACATCTTTCCTGAATTATTTAACTTATATTGCTCTACTCTGCCCTTGGCCCTTCCACAGGA